GGCATCGCGCCGCTACCGCGTCGCTTGATGTATATCTAGTGTAGGTATACATTGAGAAAATTTTTGCAAATCGCGGAATTTATCTGCAATTCTCAAGAAGTAATCGCATTCAATCCTATTTTATCTTGGTTCAAAATCCTGTACGAGTGATATTTATATAACTGGCAAAACCGTGAGTGACCTCACGTACGTCTTGCAGTCTGTTGTGGGAATTAAATATTCTTCGTATGATAAAGTCAAGTTTCTCTGTAGAAAGACAAACGCGATTCATATGTGTGCCTTCTTCTTCGCGGTACAGTATAGGTCTTGTAATGTCCTTGAAATGTTTTTAGTGCTCAACGTTAGTAATTAATCAGTTTCACGTGTGTGAGTTTCCTGAGCGCATTAAACTCGCCAGTCCGAGCTGTCTTCCTCTACAGAAACATTATGAAAAGCTTATTTGTTATCCTCTTGAGCGTCATTGTCGTACTCGCCGATGATGATCTCGCCGGCGAACAGCATGAGGTCGTCGCACCGATTGGAAGAATTCGCGGTTCCACCACGACCTCCAGACTTGGCAAGAAAATCTATTCCTTCCGCGGTGTCAGATATGCCGAACCGCCAACCGGACCGCAACGTTTTCAAGTAAAGAATCAGACATATCGGTATATCGCAATTAGATGAATAATAAGAACGCTACTATCAATTTTATATTAAAATCGACCTGGGTAATTCGCGTCTGTATCCGCATTACAGGCGCAGCCAATAAAATGATAGCTTGCACAATTTCTTAAAAACGTGAAACGTGAAGAAACTCTCATGCAACTGCACATAAGAATTGCTTTGAAAACGATTCATCAAGTAATTTTGATAAGAATCAAAAGCAGACTTCAAATTAAAATTTTTCATTTTTATTTCTTTAATTCTATTTCTCCTAGGTCGCAATTCCAGCGGCGGATTGGACCGATGTTTTCGATGCGACTAAAGAAGGACCCGCCTGTCCAGCGATATTTGAACAGAATATAATGGAGGATTGTCTCCGTGTAAATGTCTACACGACGAAAGTAAGCCTCGTACATTCGCGCATAATGCAACGTACATTCAAGCTGAAAAATGTGTAAATAAGTCACAAATTGAAAAATTATCTGGATCACAGTTACCGTCAAAGAACGATCCTGTGAAAAGACCCGTACTGGTATTCTTCCATCCTGGTGGTTTTTACTTACACTCGGGTCAAAGTTGCAACTTCGGACCTCAGTACCTACTGGACAAAGATATTGTTCTCGTCACAGTCAATTACCGTCTCGCGTCTCTAGGTAAAAAGTCCCGCGTTTTATCCATCTTTCCAACAATTCGACCTACAAGCAATAAAATTCCGTTTAAGCAGAATTTGAGGTTTAAAAATATAAATTCATAATAATCATTATGTACATCGGAATTTTATCACTTGTTATAATTCAAAGAATTACAAAAGCAATAACTTTTTTCTTTAAGAAAAAGAATGGTGTCACACCTCTATTTATGCTTATTCTTGTCAGGCTTTCTGAGCACCGGTGATTCGATGGCACCGGGTAATTTGGGCCTGAAGGATCAAGTCGTGGCGCTTCGATGGGTCCAGAGAAATATAGCCGCTTTCGGCGGCGATCCCGACAGCGTCACTATATCCGGCGACAGCGCCGGTGGATTGAGCGTGTTATTGCACATGGTCTCGCCGATGTCCAAGGGATTGTTCCATCGAGCGATCATGATGAGCGGCTCGGCAATGATAGAACCGTTTCCAACCGAACAGTTACACTTGGCAAAAAAACAAGCCGAGTTGTTAGACTGCCCGATCGACACCACTGGATCTATGCTGATCTGCTTGAACTCCAAGCCAGTGGAGAACTTCACAGATACCATATCCAAGTTCTTTGTAAGGAAGATTACATATATTAGAGATTAATGAAAGAAATAAAATTAAATAGTAAATAAGATTAAATAATTTTCCTTTCAAACGATGACGACGTTCGATTTCCTTTCAGACGATACGAAAATTAGAGAAACAGTAAATCATAGAAAAATTCGTCAAAAACTAAGAAACGTAACAATTCGTGTTATTTTAAAATTTTATATAAAAAGTAATTTTAACATACTATAACACATTCTAGGAGTGGTACGATGATCCAATCTTAATATGGACACCCGTAGTGGAACCTGAGATTCCTGGCGTGGAAAGATTCTTGCCCGAACAGCCTATTGATCTTATTAGAAAAGGAAAGTTTCATATGGTTCCGCTAATCGCAGGAGTTACTAAAAATGAGATCAATGGTGTGGTCGTCTGTAAGTATTTTATATTTTTTGTATTTTCTTGTAATTTCTATTCAATTTTCAAATTAAGATATTTTAAATTAATTATTTAGTATATTAGGGTAACCAACTCCGATGACATTGACTTTAACATATGTATGTTGTCAAGATTTTGATTCTGCAGGATTTTTAGAAAGTTTTAGTTGTCGCTCGTTATTTGTTAAAAAGTTATTAACAAAAAGACTTATTAGAAAGTTGAAATGAGTAGTATAATTTATTAAGTGATCATCAAGTTAAAACGTGCTTAAAACGGCCAGTTCTCCAATGTAGCATAATGTTATTTTTTAAAAATTCGTGCGAACGTATCATAATATTCCACTGTCGTTTAATTTAACTGATCAATATAGTATTGTATTTTATTATTATAATATGATTACCAGTAATGTAATTTTACGGATGTTTGAAAATCAATGTTTTATAACGGAAGATTCCGAAATATCATGACATGCTTGCACGAATTTTTGAAAAATAACATTATATCACGTTGGAGAAACTGATCGTTTTAATTTGATGACTATTTATTAAATTATATTACTCCTGATTCCGGACAACATTGTTGATTTTATTGACATTATTGATTTTTTGTTTATATTTATTTATTATTATTGTACATACTTTACCGACTTTACAGATTAATTTCAATTATTCAGCTTGCGATTCAGAAAGACCTAGATCTTTTCGCTAGACCTATGAAGTCTGGTTTCGTTGTATTGTTAATAATATAAAAATAAAGTTAAGTTTGTACACTATTGCTCGATTTTTATCCATTTAATACATTATTAAAAATGATGACTGAAATCACAGAAATTAATAAATATACAATATGTTTCATTGATTTTTTTTAGCTGCTAATGAGCAACACAAACTCGGGAATGATTCGATGTTGAATGACTTGAATAATGACTGGTACAGACTCGCACCGATTAATTTTATGTACGAGCGGGATACACCTCGATCCAAACACATAAGTACCGAACTACGCCGATTTTACTTTGGCGACAAGCCAATCGGTCCAGAAACTTATGACGGTCTCGAAAATGTATGTATAAAGTGTTGTAAAACATATTATGATTAAAACAAATTAATTGCAGTTACATATAACATATATAATTGGTTTTGTATTTCAGATCTACAGCGATAGCGTAATTATATATCCGGTGCATCGTTCTGTAAGATTAATCGCAGAAAATTCCGACCAACCCGTCTACTTTTACATGTTTTCTTACCAAGGACGATACAGTTTTGGCATGTGGAACACAACCACACCATACGGTATTATTTCATTCTTGTATTTTACTTTTAGATTCAAATTCTTTAAACTGTTCTATAACACTTCGCGATTCGATCTTTATTTAATTTCTGCATGTATTATATGTATATGTATACCAAAATTTGTTATTTATTTTATCATTTTAGGAGTGGCGCATCAAGACGATTTGCAATATCTGTTCTTTATGAAATCCATGAAATTCCCATTTTTCGAAAATAATGCTCCGGAAATTCCTATGGTGGATCTTATAACAAGCATGTGTTCAAACTTCGTTCAAACCGGTCAGCCGCTATCCTCAGCTTTGGAAACAAAGAACATTACGTGGGAACCGTATCTATCAGAAAGAGACAACTATCTAGAAATCACCGAGAAACCAACAATGAAAACAGGACTTTATCCTGATAGAATGCAAAAATGGGACAGTTTGTTTCCCTTGAATTCGAAATAGAAATCGATTCAATGTCTAAAATCGATTTTGTAACATGTAATAAATATGCTAATCTAATTTTGTTAATTAAAAATAAAAAAAATGCATTAATTCTATTACTCGATAAATATTGTTATATCATATTTTATAAAAATAAGTCTTTTTTCCAATAAAAAAAATTATTTCTGTAAAACTACAATACGTGAAATTATTTTTTTAGTACAAAAAATGATTAATAAAGTTTGATACTTTACTGAAATAAATTAAATTGGCAAGTATAAAAATATTTATTAAAATTTTAAGTACAAAAGACCGTCACTTATATAACATACTTAAATAACAATTAAATGACAAAAATTACATAAGAATACAAAAGAATACACATATTCAGATCTTCGGATTTGACAGTGCATCTTCACTAGAGGCCCGCTTAATTCTAATCAGTTGTGCAACTTGTAGTACATCGAAAAAGTACCCGGCAGCGAAAGTATGAATCAGAATCC